TTACACCACCTGTTCCAGTAATAAAAGGAGATGCAACAAGTGTTTCTGCATTACTTCCAGAGCACGGTTTTGTTTTTTTTTTGCTTTCTTATCTTTTAGTTATCTGCAGCACCGATAATTCTTGGAGTAGAAATGTGATATGACCTGACTACAGCAGAGATCTGACTGCATCCACGTCATCTTTCACACCGGGGTTTTAACCTTAAATGCTGCTGTGGTTTTGTAGAGCAAAAGGCTGCCGGAGGCTGAGCTGGAAGTAGCTGCTGTGCTCAGTGCGATGTTAACAACAAGGAAGCATTTGCAGGGAGGGATTAATAACGCGAAAATCAGATATGTCACTTTTCACAGTTATTAAACAGATGGACTTTAAAAGCTGATCCCTAGTGTCTGGGCTGATCAGTTCTGACACATCTTGTCTGGGGAGCGTGGAATTTAGGGCTGTGACACTCCCTGGGTTAAACAGAGCTGAAATAAACCTGCAGCTATCCAAGGCTTAAATTTGACAGAAGCAGAGTTTAACGGGTGCAGATTATGAACTTTCAGAGAAGATGTAACAACCCAGATCGAAAGGGCCACAGAAATGAGCTGCCCCATGTTATACGACTGTTACTGGAAAACTGCACAGGGAAACGTGCAGATCAAAAAGGGTTAAAATCCACATCCCAGGTGCCTGCTTCTTTGGAACTGTGGACTTGGTGTGGCAAACAGAGACGTAATGGGGCTTTGAGTGAATGCCTGTTTATTGAGCAGCAAAAGCACCCAGCACTCGTAAGTGAAACCTCACGCGGCTAGTCCGGCTGAAGAGGTGATTAAAATAAGGGCTTGTCTCATTTTTCACTGCTGCAACAAATAGGTAATGGTTCGCTTCAGGTTGACTTGTAAGTTCTCAAGTACTTGGCTCAAAGCTGAAGAGAAAGAAATCTGCAGCAGATTTCTGTGACAGGAACAGGCAGCTCTGTCAGCTTCAGGGTATCATATGGCCCTTACCTGGTGAAGCAGCTTGTTTTCATTTATATATTTATATTTATATCACTATATTGATAAACGTTCTCTGGAACGTTTTGATAACCACATTGATAAACGTCTCTGGAACTACTTGCTCCAAGGTTGAATGTGTTAAAATAGTGGTGAGGTGGAAGTGTTGCCCCATTCCAGGCATACCAGCAACAAATAGTGTGGGCAGCAGCTGATTTAGGGAGATATGCAGAGCACTTTGCCATCGTGCCTCTTTGAAACCATCAGCTTTGGGTTTCCTCCTCCTTCACCTTTTGCAATTGGATACTTTTGCTAGGGGAGGATATTTTTTTTCCCCTGATCGAACACCAAGTCAATATCAAAGCAACAAATTGGAGCACTTAGTTAAGCTCAGGACAGCAAAAATTGCACTCAGGCAGTCCATGAAGGGTGAAATACGTTAAGTCATCTAATTCACAGCCCGGTTTTCTCTCTTCCTGCTGCCACTTCCCAGCCAGAAGCCCCCAAATAACGAGCCAACACTTGTGAGGTCTCACGGGGCGAAATCGTGACCGGGCAGCACTTTTTGGGAGGTGGCAACGTTGATGTTCCCTTGGCTGGTGTCCCACAGCTCTCAAAGGACATGCATGAACTTGTTGGGAGATGCCACCAGGTGAAAGAGCCCAGCAGAAGGTAGCAGCACCCCGGCAGCGCGGATGGAGCTCAGGACAGAGCGAGGCGTGGGTTGCAGGGCGGAGCAGTGGTTTGTCACAAGCCAGGTGGGCAGAAGGACTTGCAGGCTTGAAAACTTGGAGGGACGCCTGTCGGAAAGGGACAAATGGAATTAGCTCTGACTCCACGGACAGATGAGTGCTTGTTTAAAGCTTCCCCCCCAGGGCTGCTCTCTAGATGATGCTGTCCAGGAGTCAGGTTTGCTGTCAGTAGAGATTTGATTTATTTGAAAGCATGAAAAGCGATGATGCTAAACTGAAGACTTGAATGTGAGACTAAAAGAGGTTTGAAAACAAAAGATAAACTTGAATTAGAAGTTTAGCTTCAGCTTTTCAGACACTGTTGTCAAGAAAGGTCTGTGCACCCTGTCCTTCCACGCTCTTCTGGCTCAGTTAAGGTCTTTTGCCTCAAGCCTTTCCTTCTGCAAGCATCAAAACCTGTGGTCTAGGGGGATTTTGATCTCTTAAAAGGAACTTTTACTCACATCTTGTTCTGTAGTGTGCATGACCATATAAAGCGTTCCAAATGGAAGAAATGGTTAGTTCATGACTCCTTTGTGATTCATGGTTTCCTCCAAGTCATTACTCTGATCCAGCATCATTTTCCTACATACACAGCTCCAAAGCTGTCGAAGGGAGCAGCACCAGGTTCTCTGGTGCTCACTGCAGTTGGCTGCAGGTTAGTTTAGACCTTTCCAAGGTGGCGAGGTAAAATATTTGGTGTAAAATAAATGGAAAAAAAGGAGCTACAAGGGGAAAGCTAAGTAGGGCTCACGCTGAGCAAGGAGCTTCTCAGTTTTTTAGGAAGCTCCCCCGTTTGTGTTTCTGCCTGGGCTGCGCATGGAAACTTAAGTGAGATTTTGTGGCTTGGCAGGACAGCGAGCAGTGGCTGCCTCCATAGATCTTGTCACGTTTTGGAGCTTGCGTGCTTGGGAAGCTAGCGTTCAGTAACCCCAAGATTAATTTCTAATGGAAGGAAGTTCGTACTATTAAGAATGAAACTTAGCCTAAACACAGTTTATCTGCAAAGACCGGAGGCAAGGTAGTAATTTGCCTGCCTTCCTCTGATAAAACCGGTGCTGAAACAGTTAAAGTGATCTTCGGTTGGACTCTTAACCCAAGGGGTAGCAGAGTCCCTTTCCTGGAATGCAGGGCGGAGAGGAAATCTCCCGTTTTCTCCCCTTTTGGGCTGTTTTTCACACCTCCTCAAGCCCTTATCGGAAGCTGATGTGTTCAGTAACTCCCTCTCCTGACTAGATGAGTTGGAGGCAGGAGCAGTTTTTGAAAGAGCGACTCAGAGCATCCCCAGGAGCCGGGGGGGGCGGGACAGAGCCCCTGGGGAGGCTTTTCTGACTCCCCCGGGCTCTTTTCCTGCACAAGGACCCGCAGACTCCTGGTGGCAGGAGCCTGGCAGAGGGGAGGCAGCCGCCCATCCCAGGGATCCTCCTGCAGAGCAGAGGAGTTCAAGGTCGGTAAGTTCGTCTGCAGCTGGTGCAAAGTCCAGCTCAGCTCCTCGGGCTGCCGTTGGGCAGCTTGTGTTGCGATCTGAGATAGAAATCTGACTTAATTTGTAAGAGCCTGGTAACGTGGAAGTGGTTTTAGCTCTTCCAAGTCATTTATTTTAAGTAACTACCTAGATGTGGTCATTTGTCAGTGTTATTTAGCAAACATGAACATTGGAAAAACTTTAATCAAGCTTTCCTAAATGTGTGAGAGCTACGTTTGATATTTGGGAATGGTTTTACTCCTGATAGTACCTTAATTCAGAGAAATATAATGCTGTAAGGACTATGAGAAGCCTCTAACAAAGTCCTTTTTAATAGACGGGGCAGGAGAGGGATTGAATTGTTGCCAGTGGTCAGTAATTCAAATTGGTGCTAAAGCTCAGATTTTTGTTATTACTGAGGTGTCTGCACTGCTAGATAAAAGCTCAGCCTGTTTTGTCTACATCATAAGTGTTTGGTTACATTCCTCTGGTTATTTTACTAGCATTCGCTTTTTAATTTAGCTAATCATACTGGCTCACATTGTTTATAACTGATGTTTTAATGTCAATTTCATGTACTACAGTTGGAAAATTCCGTGAAAGGCAATTTATATATTATATATCTTACATATCTTACATATTGTATATATAATGTATTATATATATTATATAGTTTTTGGCTTCACATTTTCAAAACTAACTTCAACTACTGCAGGAGTTAAAAGTTGACACCTCTTCCAGATTCCACGCAGTAAAAAACTTTTCCAAAGTTGCATTTATGTGGATAAATTCAGGAGCCAGTCTTTAGAGTTCATTTCATGCCTTAAGTTTATCGAAACTGCAGTTGCAGGGCTTGTTTCAGTACTGCCTCCAGAAGTGCAACCAGATTCACATGGAAATAGAGATTTTATTGTAAGTAGGACAAGGAACACAAATTTTACGGTTACATTGGTCTGAGTTTTAGTGCTGAAACTAAGAGGTCAAGACTTAAGTTCCTTCTCCAGCCATTTTTTTTTTTTTTTCCCTTCAGTGGCTACTTTATTTTAACCCTCCTTTCTTTTTTTTTTTTTTCCCTTCAGTGGCTACTTAATTTACACTATCCTTTCTCTTTAAATTTTCAAACCTGTTGTGTGGGGTAAGTTAGAGTGGATTGTGCTGTGAACATGAGTCATTACAGATGATTCTGCATACAAAGCCCGGCTCTTGGGGTGGAGACTGAAACCCAGAGAGCTTGACAAATTCAAATAGCTGCAGGACTTCCCCTTTTGTTCCTTTCCAGGAAAGGATCGTTTCACCTGCTCACCACTCTTAAAACTGGTCATTTAGAGCCTGCACCTGTGCTTTTGGGATGAAGGCTGCAGCAGCTTTAGCAGGTTTTCAGCTCCTGGAGAAGCTGGGGGGGAGGGAAATGTGTTAATCATTGCTGCCAGCGCTGACTGCTCCTCCTTTTGGGCAATCCCAATGATTTCCATTGGGGTTGAGTGTGACTCACCTTCTATTGCCCTGCCTCTGACTCCAGGATCTCACCGCGTTAAGAGTTTGCCAGTGGGCTGATGGAGACCAGCAGCTCCCTTGAGCTGGCAGGTCCCCAATTCCTCACCCCCTTTTGCCACTCGTGGAGTCTCGCGTGGCCGTTGGTCGGGCTCTGTAGGACAGAGCGGATCGATGACAGGCACAGGAATATTGACGTTATGCAGCGGTCAGTTAAGTTATGCACGCAGGGCTATTTTTAAACGCGGGTTTCCAGAAGCTTCCGAGAAGTGGAAGTGGTTAAATTCAAAACCTTCTCGTTTCTAGGTTTGTGCTGTAAACAGCTCATCACTGCCACAATGACATCTTCAAGCCCTGCCCAGCATCCAGCAGCTGAGAGCGCCTGCAGAATCGCGCTCGGACAAGTTAACCAGGTAATTACCTTTCCCACTTGTCTTCACTCACTGCTTTCTCCTCACTAAAGCAGTGATTTTCTTCCATCAAATCCAAGCTCTCTGAGTACATTTAAGTAAAAAGGATTTAGCCTAATGGAGTAGGGCTTTTATCCTGAGGAGCTGTTAGCTAGCTCTCTCTATCAGATCAACGATTTATGAACGTTTTAAAGGGAAAAGGCAGATAAAACTGGCCATACAAGAAGTTGTATAATGCTTTTTTTTTTTTTTTTTGCTGGTGCTATACTTGAAGTATTCTGCATACAGCATTCCTCCTAATGCTGAACTCATGGTAGAGATATTGGAGATTTGTAACCTTGCCTCATCAGTAACACATCCCCATGCCTTTTTCTGGAGTCAACTTAAGTATTGAACATGTAGCACTCCTGTTACCGACTACTCCTGGAGCCTCCCTGGAACAAAAGGTAGTTGTAGCCACAAGCCAAGGCCAACATGACAAGTGTGGGGTTTGAGCATGGCTCGACATGGTGTGACAGCCAGAGAAGAGGAATTTGCAAACAGCAGCAGCAGAACTCTGGTCTAAAAAATCAGAAAGCCTTCTGCAGGACAGGCATCCAGCCTTCCAGAGCCAATCCGTTGTAAAAATCATCTCCAGAATACGAGGGGATGTGGCAGGAGCGGAAATAAGCTGATGGGAAGTTGGGAGAGACTCCCATTTGGGGCTTAATTTAGAAGCTTTGAAATGTAGCCAAGTCCTGTGCAGAATTGATGTATGTGCTTGTTTATTCAATTCACTCTGCATGGAAAGAAAAAAACAAACCCAACTAAATAGGCTCTGATATTAGTAGCAAAATATTGATTGTCAACACTCACTGTCCCAGGCAGTGTGGAGTAAACACTGCCGTTGTGGCTGTAATGTAGTAGCTAAGGACCCATTTTAAAGTGATCAAGCTAACTAGGTTGCTTCTTTAATCAGAAAGAGATGTATAAGAAGTTACTTCAAATCCATTTGAGAGTGGTCATTAGAGAAATGAATGAATGCAAATGCATAATGTCATCTTATTAAAGTCATGTGCTGACACAAGCACTTCTTGGAGTTGTGCTGAGCTTTTTCCTTGTGAAAAAGCTGTTCTTGAGAAAAAGACTTGGGGCTGGACACGGGCTGTTCTGTTTGAGCTCAAAAAGCACATTTAGCAAACATCATAACGAGAAAACAGGCAGGCCAGCCAGGCACATTCACAGAAGAGATGACTTTTTTACAGTATTAGAGAACACTAGAACTAACACCTTGCCGAGATAGCGTCTGATAGCTGATTGACAAATTACATTCACGATAAGCAACCAAAACCTGCTTTCCTTACCTCATGTAGGAACGCGGTGCTGCAGCTCAGGCTGGGTTTCAAGGAAGCATTGCAGGGCTGGAAATTGTATTTATATAGGCAGAAGGGAGGGGTGGGTACGAGACACAGGTGAGCCCAGCTGACACTGAGAGGTGAAGGCTCTAGCTCGCACAGGTGACATGTCTTACGAGGATAAACCTTGTCAAAGTGTAGCGGAATCAGTGATGATGAGCAGGGTGTGCTGGGGACTGGACTTTTTGTCCTGTGGCGGATGGAGGGGTCTCACCGTACTCGTGCCTAATAGCCAAGGAGAGCGGAGGAAGAGGTTCAGCGCGGGACATGTGTGTTGGTGTACAAAACCCTACATGGTCTTGCAGCATTCGGAGAAGGGCACGGGCTTTCTGGCATTTTTAGGGACCACAGGGCATCCGATCGTGTGGTGGCACTCTCCCAGGGATGGTTAGCGTTCTTGTGGAGTAGATGAAGTAGCGGGGCAGTAGCTGTTTAAAACTTGCTGCTGTTTTATGTAGCATCATCTGTCTCATCTGCTGCTCGGAGCTGCTCGGCTGCGTGGGTGAAACCTAAAGGGGTTGTGGGGCAGTTCCCAGGGTGCTTTATATTTTAGATAATAAAAGATTTTGGTTGATGACAGAGATACACAGAAAACACACCTTCTGATCCTTGGTGTTAATTAACCAAACCCTCTGTTTAATTCAGTCTGGACTGTTAGGTGCCTGTTCATGGATCCTAATGAATACAGACTCCCCGGGGTCTGTGAGTTTTTCACTGCACCGGCTGAGAAAACTCAGGCGTGCTGCTCCCAAAGTGGCAACCTGAACACAACGCTGCTGTTCCTAAATCCATGACTCAGAGCCTTTGGTTAGTCACTACCTACGACTCCATTCCAGGGGTCTGAGTTTCCCGTCTTCCTTCACAGGATGAAGAGCATCAAAGTTAATGGGACAGTGGGAGTGATTAGAGCTGGCTGCCTGAATTCCTGGGCTTTTTTTTTGTGTGTGTGTGTGTGTTCACTTGAATCAGGATGAATCAAACAAAACTCTCTGCCTTGTGTTTCAGGTGCGACCCAAACCGCCGCTTCTGAAGATTCTGCAGGCTGCAGGCGCCCAGGGGGAAACCTTCACGCTGAAGGAGGTGAGCTCCCTCTCTGCCTGGTCCCTGGCTCTTCATTTTTCTTTGTATTTTCAAGCCCTATCTGCAAAACGAGACTTCACCCATAGGGCTGTTGTGATTTGATCGATCATAAATTTTCTTGAGAGGCCCTTGGAATAGGAGTGTGAAATATTAAAGAAAATTATTTATCCTGGAAAATCAGAAACATCTTTAGAGAAAGGGGAGATGGGCTAGCTGCATTCCTGAGAGAGTGCAGGAGATTCTGCTCAGTGGTCTTGCTCTCTGCTCAGTGCATGAAAGCCTGAAAAATTGGATTTTTCTTTCAGCTTTCCTTTGAAATGGCTTGTCAGCTAAACCTAAAAGAGCCTGTGAATTAATTTATTTTAAGATTAAAATGCAATATGTGTACAAGATTAAAAAAATGACACTGACTGTGATTTACAAGAGTATCCTGTCTGCAAAGAATTAAATGCAGTGGTTTTTCATTATGAATGTGTCAAATATTCCTGCAGAGCCCTGTGACTTATTTTAAACACTTATGCATTTAAATAACTTATTTAGCTTCTAAAAATTTTTGCAAAAACAAATTGAATGGCTTAAATGGGGAGAGCCGAGTATTAAATGCAGGTTACTTGTGTAGATTAACATTTTAAGCCATTTTTTTCTGCAGTGAATGGAGTATTGTTAACAACTTTTTGGTAACAGGATCGTTCGGGAGGGTCACTTTGGTGGGTAATGGGGGGTGGAACCTGCCTTTATTGCGCCTGACGCAGTTTTGCTTTCTCCTCTTGTGCTCAGATGTCTCTCTGTAGCTGTCAGCAGCCCCGGCTCTCAGAGTTTTCCTTCCTTCTTTGTGATAGTAATGCACTTTGGGGTTTTTGCACCTTGCAAACTGTGTCCTGAGGGACAGCGCTGTAAACGTGGTCATGGTTTAGTAACACCTTATTTTAATTCTTTTAACTGGGGATACCTGCCGCAGCAGCAAATTACAAGTGTGCGTAAAAAGCAGATTCTGTTTGACTCACACTGACTGTGTAGGGTAGCAGGAGGCAAGTGTCCTAAACTAAACCAGATTTTCCAGGGTCTTTGGTGGTTTGTTTTCGGCTGCAGATGCAGCTCATGGTGTGTTCTCTATCTGCAGGTTATGCATTACCTCGGGCAGTATATAATGGTGAGGCAGCTCTATGACAAAAGGCAGCAACACATGGTCCATTGTGGAGGAGATCAGCTGGGAGAGCTGCTGGGACTCGAGAGCTTCTCTGTAAAAGATCCAAGGTAGGAAAAAGTCACCTTTAACGTGTGTTGTATTGCAGAGGTTGCTGAGACGGGACATTCTTGGTGTCACTGTTTCTGTTTGCTGGCTCTGGGAGTATGCAGTGCCCTGCTCAGTGGCTTATTGGCTAATGCATTGACAAATTTTGGTTGAGCTCCTTGGTTCTGAAGAGCTCGTTCTGAATGGGCCAGGTAGGGAAGTGCTTGAAACGACATCTTTTTCCATCTTCTCAGGCCCTTGTTCTCACACTTCAGCAAAATTCTGCATCCTTCAGTTAAGTTCTGAGCTCGACTTGTCTGTAGCGAAAAAACCCCCAACCTGCTGCGTTTCCCAGTCCCTCCCTGGATAATAAAAGAAAGTTTCTGTCCCTAGTTTGAAAGGGTAATGCTGTCACCTTCTTTCCCACAGCCCAGTCTATGACATGCTGAAACGGAACCTGACTTCAGCTGCAGTGGCAGGTAGGTTTGTCACAGTATGGGCAAGTATATTCAATAAAGTGTTGATGTAACTTGGGTAAGTAATGACCTTTAGAAAAAGAGAAGTGTTTCTAAAGTTGGAACCAACTGGTAATGAAGGCTTTGACGAGACAATCACTTTGAGCACGTGTCTTTTCTGTGTGTCCACCATCAGTAGCTGTGACATGAAATCAGTTAGCTCTTTGAGTGACCTGGCTGCCTAGGACCAACGGCCAAACCTCGGAGTAGCAGACACTCTCTGTCTGGAAGCACGCTGACAGAGCTAAATACTGTGGATGTACAAATCAAGTATCCCACCTGAATCGTTATTTCTCAATCTTTTCTCAGTTTCATAGCACGCTCATTTTATTCCTTCATTCTCTTGGGACTGTTTATAAGAGTGCTGGAAGCCCAGTCTAGTTCTGCAAGCCAAAGAGGTCTGGACTTTAATCTAACACTTGAACCTTTAAAGGTCACTTACTTTACAAGCTCATAAGAGAAATCAAATCTGTCTTCATCAAAAGTCCTTCAGTCATAAATTAAAGTTTATTCTTAAATTAATCTCAGCTGAAGGCTTCCTTGCAGCTAGTTCTCGTTGTATGGCTGGTAATCTTAATTTGAAAAAAACCAACCCGAACTTGTGATAAAACGACGAGCGTGCAAATCATGAAGGAGCTGCACCAGGAGAGTTGGGGAGTCCTGTGCTGCCCTTCCTGGGGTCTCTGAGCAGATAATACAGACTTAGTTCTCCATAAGGAGTTAGTTTGCACAAATACATAAACGCTTGTGGAAATCTGGAAACTGAGAAAACGTGGCCCTAAACTGGTTAGTCCTCTGCTTGGAGCCGTGTATTGGTGCCTCTGAGGTCACCATCCTTTCTCTATATAGAAGAACCTTCCTGTGTGGACTCTTCCCTCCAGATAACTGTGTGAGTGCCCTTCCCCTCGCTGGTGACGCCCTGGCTCCCTGTGGGCAGTGTATGTGGAGAGCAAAGGATCCCAGCGAAACACTCTCTCCTCTGCTGCCCTGTCCCCTTCTGCTTGGTGTGTGCCTGTGGCTGCGTGTGGGCGGCTGGGTCTGCGTGTGTGCTCCAGTCATGGTGTAACTATTTTTAAACCTGCCAGAGGAAGTACTCTTCCTTCAGGGAGATAATCGCTGAGTTATACCACCGTGTCTGCTTCTGAATGTGTGTGGCTATAAAACGAAACAAGCTTGGCAGACCAGGTCTTTGACAAATACACAGGAAAGATGACTCGAGGTATTGGTTTTCCTTTTCCGTAGCCAGAGGGGAGTAAGGAGAAGTGCCACAGGGCTTAAAGAAGTCGAATTCATTAGCCAAATCGCACTTATCTGCGCATGGTTTTGCAGACTCTCAGCAACTTCTTTTAAGTACACTTGTAGAAAGAAAAGTGACTGCAGTACATCGTGATAAGAAAGGCTGAGCTCTTATCAATGCCCTTTATCAGCTGGTGTCCTTTCCCTCTCCTGCGTGACTCACACGAGGTGTGTTAAGGAATACCTCACTGCAAGGTCAGTGTGTATAGCGTATGGTAACTTCAAAAAAAGGAAGCTTTCCAGTCAGCTTGGAGTGTCTTTTCACACAGCGTTTAAAGCCAGTTTGCATTATTTATAAAGTCTTAGAAGGAGGAGTCTTCACCTCTTCTAATTCCCCTGCAGAGCCAAAGAAATTATGGATGAGCCAATTGGCTTCTGTTTTCTTTCAGGTATTAAGTACTCAGGGACTGCAGAAGCTGTAGGGTGATGGAAGGGAAGAAAGGAAAGCTGAATTAATGCACGGCAAGTGAAGAATGTGGGATAGAGCCATGTCATTTTGTGGTCCTGTGTTTTGGTCCATTTTATGGACAACTTTGTGGTCGCCTTTCCTGCCTGTAGCAGCAGTTTTCAGCATTGGCATATCCGTGCCGTGATTCATGGCATGAATTCGACTGTTTACGTCTGCCTGGCATTGAGCAGGGAGTTTCTCTGCTAAATTGAAAGGAGAACAAGCAGGAGTGGTCCGTGCATCTTTTATTCTCTAGCAAGTCATTCTGTTTAAAGGGTAGGCTTCATAAGTGCAGCTCTCCTATTATCTAAAAAGATTTCTGTTAATTTGATTGGTCTTCATGTTTAGGTTGGCCTTTTAATTAACTCTCAGAGCCGTCATAATCACCTAGATTAAATTGTGTAATGGATGTGTACAGAGTTACCCAGGAAAGAGCTTGCTGCTGTGCGTGGAATTTTCCCTTCTTTAGTCTAGTCATTGTTCTCCGTGCCCACACCCTTTAAGAAAGGCGATTTTCCTGTCTCTGCCTAAGCTGAAAGAGATGGTGTCCTCAGGTAATTCTAAAAATCTTACTCTTTTTCTGTTCACCTTCAGCATGGATCTGAGCCAGCCTTCAAGTGAGGGTCTCCTCGCTTCTGCTCTTGCTCAGGGTTTCTGCCTCCGTGCAGACCTCTGTAAGGAAGCTAGAGCTTGCAACGCCGAGACAGCCTGTAGGAAAAAGAAGTTTTTTGCATTAGGAAGAAGGTTCTTGCATGCTCTGAGGTTTCATCTCCAAGGAGGCACAGACTCTAGTCCTGCCTCTCCAGGAAATAGCCAGCTCTCTGAGAAAGAAAGGGCTCTGCTCCTCTTAAAGCCTTACCTGAGAGGTCTGCCAAGCTTGGCTCGTTGGTTGCTTGCTGAAGACCCTCTGTGTTGTGAGAATGGTTATTACCAGGGAAGGTTTTTTCTTTTGTTTTACCTGCCATCTAGATGCTGCACAGAATCTCGCACAGGAACAGAGCGTCGATAAGCCAAGCCGAGACCAGCTGAAGGTAAACCCACTGTCTGGTGGTTTCTTTTGTTGTACAGAGTGCCCCTTCTCTGTACCTGTGCATGGTGGACTGCCAGAACTTTGTGCTGCTTGGCTGCCAGGTCCTCACCTTCCTGAAAAGTTCTTGGAGTCCACAGAGCAGGGACAGAGTGACCCTTCTCTGTTCTCTTCATAACAGAGTACCAGTCTCTGAGCGCGTTTCTCTGGGGTGTAGCACTTCTAGTCCTCAGTTCTTCCAGCGTGCTCTGTATTTTCACATCTTTCTCCCCTCTCTCCCATCCCCTCTCTTAGTAGGAATCGCCAAATAATTAAGCTTTCTAAAATGTGTGAACAAGTTTTGTGTTTAGTAGGATTGTTTCGAGAAGCTTTCAGGCAGAATCTGAAACCTAGGAAAAATCTTTGCACCTTCAAACTTGTTTCCAGGTGAATTTTGGAGTTAATTAAGGTAGTTTGAGCTGGGAAGTGTCTGGGGGCTGGAGTCACAAAGGTCACGGTGTTGCTGTGTCGAAGGACTTTTGCCAATCTTAAGATTTTTCCTAGGTTGTGAACATGTTGTTTGTGCTGATTACAGATGCGTTAGCCTTCTTAAAGGGTTCATAGCGTGTAGTTTTTGTTCAGAAACTTTTTTTCTCTTCACAACTTCTTGGTCTTGTACTGCAGCTGGTGACTCAGAATGGAAGTGCTACATCCCCTTGTCCCTGTAAGCTCTGATGGACTAACATCTGGTTTTTCCTTCCTTCATGCAGTTTAGCCAGCAAGAAGGTTCTGACACTGGCGTCATGGAGGGTGAAAGCAATGCTTCTGCTTTGTCTACCTCAGAGCAAAAATGTGAGAACTACCAAGGTGAGTGCCACATTTTCTGCAGTAACACAACGTGGACAAGCTCTGCCTGGTGCGACACGTTGAGTTCTGCATCGGCAAGATGCTGGAGGAGGGTGTTGGGAGACTAATAAAATAATCTTTAAAAATCATCATTTTATGCTAAAGATTGAGAGAACTGCAAATGTTTGTCAGCAGCGTTTTATGATAGATGTGTTTTCTAGCTTGGATATTTGGTCTCGTAAGGAAACAAACACTTTGAATGAAATGGCAGGTTAAGTCCCCAAACCACATCTATCACTAAACAATGCCATGAAAAATATTACAGACCTTGCTGAAGGGTATTTTAAATGCTGAAATTATACTTGTATCTATTTATCTTCCCAAGGGACTCTCTCCTTCAGTTACAAAGAACACAGGCCGAGCTGTTGGCAGTCATTACCTGCAAACCAATAAGGGAACTGAATAACAACGGATTTTTTTTTTTTTCTATCCAGCTTAAGTGTAATACAGCTCCTTTGTATTTAGACTTTTCCTTTGTTTTAATGTCTGGGGATTTCTTGCTGGTTCACTCATATGGATTTCTGATGTTATGGAAGCAATTTTCTTGTTTTTCTACTTTCTATTCTCATGTTGTTTTCGTGTCAGGGAACCTAATTTGTAAAAACAAATCTTTTTTGCAAGCGTGGGTATTTCCAGGTCACATGAGAGTGGTAGATGTTTTCCTGGCTGCATGTGCAAAACGAGGTAGAAACAGTCATTGTTTGTGCCTTTCAAATTCTTGGCACTGAAGAGGGAGAGATTCAAGGTTATCTTGAAACTCAAGAGTGCTGAGTTTGGGATCGTAGACTAAACTGCACAGGCTAAAAAAGAGGCTGAAACACAGTTAGGGAGAGTGGATTCTCACGTTCCTGCCTCCTATTTTGGGCATGGTTTGGGAATTCAGGAGCTCCCATCACTGGAAATCTAAACTAAATTCAGACCAGTCCTTTCTGCGTCTTAAGTCACTCAGAAAATTTCCTCAGCGTTGACTCCGTTAAAGCTCTGAAAGAAGGATTCGTGTTTCAGCATTGAGTCTTAAAATCAAGGTAAAGCTAAAGAGAACCTGTCCTGTTACAGAGACACTGGGAACACTGGGATGCCTCTCTGACCTCTGGTGGCTGTGCAGTGACTTTTATGCCGGATTTGAGTAGATACACGAGTACAGACGTGCGGGACGTCTGACATCCCAGTATAGTCCCAAAGCTCTTGGCAGCAGCTGCTGTAAGAAGGAGCAAGAAAGATTTCTAAAATCGCCTGGGGCCCGTTTTTTCTCTGCTGGTCTCGTTATAACGTAGGTGTGGCATGACTTAGATTCTACTTGGCTCTTACAGACAAAGACTTTATAGAAAACCTCTCTAAAAGCAAGAAGCCTAAACTGGACCTAGTGTTTGAGGAATGGGATGTAGCTGGTCTTCCATGGTGGTTTTTAGGCAACCTCAGAAGCAATTACAAGTCGAGAAGTAATGGATCGACAGATATTCAGACTAACCAGGTGTGTAGACGTTTTAAATAGGTGCGCTCCTCCTCTCTTCTTTTGGGTTCCAAGTAAATAAAATATTCTCCTTCTTTCTTTCCCCTTCCCACTCCAGGATTTTCAGCCTCTCCCTTGTGTGTTCCTGTCCCAGCCTTTCACATCAGGTGGTCGGTTACCTTTAGTGTTCTTCAGTAAATAAATGAGGTGCTCTCTCTCAGCTGTCGGAGGTCCTTCTGCCCTCCAGAGCATTTGGTTGTGGTTCAGGACTTGCCCCTCTTCTGGGTTGAAAGTTGTTGCGTGGTGCGGAGGGCTGTAGCGTGGCGGCCAGCTGCCATGTGGCCGGCTAGCCAGGGGCACGAGCACACTGCTGCTTGCACAAAGGGTTGGCTTCACCGTGAGCTGCCCCTTTCTCTCCCACGGGTGACTGGAGAAGCTGCTCAGGGCTGAGAAAGCTGTTAGCGAGGCAGAGGGGAGAAGGCATTTCTGGCGACGGCTGCGGTGCCGCCGCCGCCGCTAACCCGGGCTCTGAGTGTTTTCTCCTGTTTCTTTTCCACCAGGACATAGACACTGCCATTGTCTCGGATACTACTGATGACTTGTGGTTCCTCAATGAGTGCCCGTCGGATCAGAGCAGCGCCGCAGTCAAGGTGGAAACGGTTGACTGCGAGGAAACGAAAGAAGGTGACAAAAAGGTACCTCTCAGAACGGCCACGGTGCCTGTGTTCCACAGGTTGGCCTCGTTTGATTGATCTCATGGTGCTGCACTGATTTTGGAGGAGCTAGATCTGTAACCATCCAGAGTTTAAACTCACCATCCCGTACACGGGGCGACAGCTTTTCTGTGTAGTCAGTCTGCTTGGGTTTTGGCTGTAAACCAGCCCAGCGATGGTTATCGACATTTTGGAATAGATGCAGTACATAAATTAACTTTTCTTTCACTTGCAGAAGTTGCTGTGGGGATTACATACCCATTTTAGTTTTGACACACAGTGCCAGACACTTCATAGAGATAGTTGTGCCCCTCTAACAGCGTTTCCACTCCTTCCAGGTGACCGAGGAGGCATGTGGGCATGACTTTGAGGACTCTCAGTATTTAACTGATGACACAGACACAGAAGCTGCTTCTGAGGTAGGCGTCCTTTAGGTCAGCTTTCCATGCTTGGGGTGTGCTGCATCCCAGCTGTAGTTGGAAAAACTCATCCTACAGCTACGACTGTTTGTGGTAGGACAAGCTGTTACTTTTATGAGTTTCAAAAGCTAAAAAAAGCAAAAAAATCAAGGCAGAAAAGCCTTTTTGTAACCTATGAAGGAGTGTAGAAAAGATAGTTTGACCTGCTCTGGTTTGGTTTGAATTCGAAACTGGCTGGGCATTGAGCACTGGCAGCCCACAAATGTTCTGACCCACCCAGTCCAAAGACACCAAGTGTCTCTCCCGGGCACAGAGCAGTCCTGGAACTTGCCAGATTTCGGCCGCTTTTTGTGGCAACATGAGAGAATTTCCACGTGCTCTAGCTAGGAGGGCTTTTTGACTGGGAGATTAGGCTCCTTGTTTCTCCATTGTTCGTCCCTTTTGTGCCTGGGTAATGTGTCAGCATGGGCAGCCGCTCTCTTTTCATTCGTGGTTTAACTTATCCCTTCACACCCCCAGAAAACGAGTGAAGATTAGACCCTCAGTTTCCAGCATGGTCAGTCTAATGCTGTATGAAGTTAGTGGTAACAACATCCATGCATGTTTTAATAAGGTTCATTCTGTATTGTCCTCTGAAAGAAGTCTGGAATATAATCCTTGGCAGAGACTTGGAAATCCAAAGTAGGCACTTTGTAATCAATGAAGCGCTCACACTCCAAAACAAAAACTTCAGTGGAAGTCTCTGTGTCAGGAGCAAGGTTCCACCGAGTCCTGGGTGTCCAGGCCAGCTCTGAAACTGCTACTGGTTTTGTAGTAGGAGAATGTTCTCTTCTCTGGGAGGAGAAGAGGATCCACTTCTCACCTCACTCCCGTTTTCCTGTGATCCTTGCATGGCCTCCATCAGGAGAGCCTGCGTTACCTGCTGGTGTGACGCCTTTGCCCTTGCAGTGCCTCTCTAAGGGCAGACCGCAGCTCTTTTCCATGCTTAAATGAAAAAACGAGTTGGAACGATGGGTTTGCCTCCCTTCACACCACCCCATTCCTTTTCTCAATTCCCTTATGACAGATACTGAGGGACATTGAATTTGTGTTCTTTCATCTGTCCTTTTTTTTTCTCCCAGTCCTGCAGGCTGCCTTCTGCGGTTTTGTAAGTCAGCAATAGCGTATCGTGGCACTCTTTGCAGCTGATGGCTCCATATTTTTTAGCATAATTTTCTAGACTGTGCATGGTTGACAAATCAGGACATCCCTGACATTGGACAGCTGAATCATGGCTCCGAACTTGGGCGGCTCTTGCCCTTCCCGTGTGGGGTAATCAAGCAAGCTGCTATTAGCTGTGCAGATTCAACAGATGCTAAGTGATTACTGAGTCTGGGAAATATATTCCTGACTGATTCCAGGAGCCCTACCCTTAAATTTAGAGCAAGATACTGAAAATTCAATAAACTGCACAGCTTGAGAACATTGTATTCTTCCTGAGCGCTGAAGGCTCGGAGGAGGGAAGGACAGATCTTAATGCTTAAGAGGTCTGCAACTGTGGAGTGCACAGGGGTGATCAAATTTTCTTTAGGCTTTTTAAAGTGCTGATAGTCAAAGTAGCAAGTCATGAATACGCAAGTTTATACTTGGTAATAAATGATCTTTTTTTTGGTGAAGCTTTTCCTGTGTAGAAGCAGCGAGTTGTACGCAAGAATACACTAACCTGTGGCTGTTTTTGTCTGCCCCAATCATTCCCCAGGACTGCTGGCAATGCACGAAATGCAAGAAATTTAACTCTCCAGGCAAACGGTACTGTTACCGCTGCTGGGCCTTACGGAAGGACTGGTACTCAGATTGTCCCAAACTGGCTCATTCTCTTTCTCTCTCCAACATTGATGTCATACAAAACAAAAAAGATGATGAAGGGATAGATGTCCCGGACTGCCGAAGGACTATTTCTGCTCCAATTGGCCAACCCAAAGACCTGTACGTGGTAGAAAACAAATCGCGTGTAGATCCCTCAAGCTCTATTGAATCTTTGGATTTGGCACGAGAATGTGAAGGGAAGGAGTCTCTGCTGCATTTTGCTGAGCATAAGAAGGAGGAAGAAATACAGTCTTTAGAGAGTATAAAAAAATTACTGAATCCTTGCTTCCTATGCCATCACAGACCACGGGATGGGAACATTGTCCACGGGAGGACTGCTCACCTGGTGGCCTGTTTCAAGTGTGCAAAGATGCTGAAGAAAAAGAGATCACCTTGCCCGGTGTGCAGGAAGGACATTGAGATGGTGATCAGGATCTTTATGGGGTAGTTGGGCCACTTCAGGCCTTCTCCACCAAAAGATAGCCCACAGGTTTTCTTGCACTCACACAAACCCTATCTTCAGAGCTCGGCCGGTGAATACCAAAGAGAATTAAGGTTCAGATCTGACCCAAGAACGCTGAGGAATCCTCTGCATGAAGTGAAGCAGCATCCACTTCTCGACGTCCGTTTAAATGAAAGCCTGTAGGGAGCAGGGAGTCACCGGCCCCTTGGTTTGAAATTGCTCGAGTCTTCTAGTTTCACCTCAGTGGTGTCACTGGGATTCTCTTGTTCTGACAACTGGTCCTTGAAGAAAACAAGTTTTGGCAACAGCTTCGGCTGTTGGAGTGTTTTTCTCCGCCGAGTCCTGCCACTGTGCGATGCCTTCGGCATCCGGGGGACAGGGCGTGGGAGGGAAGGGCAGACCAAGGTGTTTGCAGTTTAGGTAAGCCATTTCTCCAAGGATCAGTTCTCCTAAGGGCAGTGATATATATATATAAATAACCCAGGCAGTAAGTAACCTGTTTCTGATTCATTTGTTTGTTTAATGGAGGTTTGTTGATTAAGGTGAAGGTCCTCTTGCTCCCGGACTTGGCAATTAGTCCTCTGAAACTTCTGTCTGTAGCTATCTCGGGTCGCAGATCAGATGGCGAAAGCATGAGGTGTCGCGCTTCGCTTTGTTCTTGGGTCTTTTAATATTTCTATTGATTCTTTTTGTTTGTTTTCTTCTTCCTTTAAATACAGTTCCTATGTCATCTTGCATAGCTTCATTGAAGCCCATCCAGCATTAGCTCAGAACCTGCTCTGCCAGCTGGATGAAGTTATAGCAGCTCTGTGTGTGTTTGGGGATGTTCTCGTAGCTCTGAGCTTACAGCACCGTTGCACCTTCTACCTGCCTCATCTCATCAGGCCAGTCGAGATAGAAGCAGCTCGCTTCTGAGTTTGATGTGGACTTAAAGACAGGTTATGGGCTTTCAAGGGTTAAAAATAACTCCTGTAAAGCACCAGTTGCAGCTGGTTAGTCTATGGGCTGCGCTTGGTGGTGTTTTTTTTTTTAATTTTCTCTGCTGGTTTTCTTTCCTGCGATTTTTAACGCTTCAAATCTGCAGCATTTATGTTGTCCTTCCAAGCTATGCATGGTCGCTCTACTTTTACTGCCTGTTAAAACTCAGCTAGAATTTGCGGTTCAAAGATGTTTAAGCCTTTTCCTAAAGCGTGCTCAGATCTTCCTCAGCGTTCCTGTTCTCCAGGGCTTTGGAGGACCTGCATCACGCAGCAGCAGCAATAGTGCCTTCACCTTTCAGGTGCACAAGCATTTGAATTCAGTGCAGTGAGTGTAATAAAAAAACCCTGTTTTGTCACCTCTATAATTCCTTCCCTAATCTAGGAAGTACAACTGAAGACAGACAAAAAAAAAGAGAAAAAAGTGCTCATACCTCAGTGCCTCTCTAGGCTGTTTCCTCCTTGTTTTCCATGCTGGGTCAGCTCGGGCACGTGGTGGAAAACCCCAGAAGTTGCCCAGCAGAAAGTCCCAGCAAACTGTGAGATCAAAGCTGTTGTTTCTCTGCAAAGATACCAGAGTAGGTGCTATATGCAGTCACTGCCAAAAGTTGTATTTTGTGTAGCGTCGCAATTATTTCTGTGTTGGCCATGATTTAGACTGTTGTTGTTGTTGGCTGTTATTTACAGTTGTAATTTAAAGACCAGAGGGTAACCGCCTGTTTTGCTGCACTATCTGTAAGTCCATGGGAATCGATCCACATGGAAAAGCTGACTTACCGCTCCCTTAACTGACGGGCTGTTCAATTGCTGGTGATGCACTTTAATAATGCTGAGATCAGCAGTGTTACCACCTGGAAGAGTCAAAGGGAGTTCCTGCCAGGGATTTTCTTCCCTGTTTCAGGTAGTTTATTTCCTTTGAAGGGTCTCGGGCTCAGCAGGGTACCAGTGGCACTTTGTGGCACTTCTGAATACTGTGAATTCCCCCTCGCCCCAGTTACTTTTGAGATAAACGTTTTACTGGATTGTTCAGATCCAGCCACACTGACGAGAAGCGTATCATTTGTGTTAATTGAAAAGGAAAAAAAAGTCAGAAGAGCTTAAGTTCCAGTAACAGAGTTGAATATCCCTACCAAAACCCTTCAGCAATCTGTACGCAGCTTCCATTATTAAATGAAAATTCCTGTCAGCGTGGCAGTTTGTGATAAAAAGCAAATCTGCGGGATAACCTCCAGCCTAACTTTCTTTGTATCTGTGAGTTCGTGTTCAGTATAACCGCTGTGTTTACAACATGCCTTTGTCAAGTGTTTAATTCTTCCTAACTGAGTTAGTGGACATAAGATATTACAATATTACAGTTGATTTTCCTTCCTAGAGAAGAATAAGCTATTGCAGGGCAAGCACATGGTGGGTAGCTGTAACCACCCAGGTTGGGGTAAGGGTTTGGAGTGGGGGGAGTTTTAGGGCAAGAGAAGGGGAGAAGAATGTTTTATCGCTTTAACTTAAAGCTAAGTCTAAATAAGTAGCAATTTAACAAGAACTGGCCTTCTGACGCTGTTTAGAAAGCACAGACTTGCGGAATGGGTTGAAGGACACAACACTGCCTGCGGCACGGGGGGGATAGTGACCAGGCAGGGCTCCGACTTGCCTTTTCTACAAATGTGGCAGGTAATGCCGAGTCCTAATTCAAAACCCCTTTTTTGGAGGAGCTGAGTATTTACACAAGACGAGTGCCAGCTCGGGTTCTGTAAACACGTCGCTGTCTCACAGCAGATGACAGTTCTTCTCTCTTACAGTGGTTTTACTCTGAAGTGCAATACAAGGGGAGACGTCCCTGGTAACCCGTAGCAGCAGTCATTGCTGTCCCGCTGTTAGAAGTGGTGAGCGCAGCTGCCTTTCCACGACTAAAAAGGTTTTTCTGTTTCACTGCCTTTTTCTTTTTTTTCCTCCTCCTTTGCTGACATTCATTGCTGTTCCTCAGGAACCTGCTGAAGGAAGCCTTATTGGCACAAACGTACCTACATAGGTCCAGTTTCATTTACTAGTTCCCTCTGCTTTTCAGCAAGAATTTTTGACACTAGTTATCCCCAGAAGCTGCAGATTTCTTACTGGGCTGGGTATTTAAATACAATATGGGAACCGTGAAGCTCACAACAGTGTTACTGCCGATCAGCACATTACGGTGCTCTGCAGCGTGACGCTGTCTATACCAGTATATTCCACTCTGTATATTCCACATCGCTTTTACTCCTGACAGTCTTTCCAGTTTAAGTGCCTCTGCTCAGTTACTCTCCACGACATGCACAGCACATCAGCCTTCTCTTCAACTCTCACTTCAAAAATCGCAGCTGAAATGTGTTTTCGACCCAAGTTCACCTAAACAAAGCTTCTCCGGGAATTGCAAAGATCCTGAGGAGCAGCCCCCCGCAAAGTGCTTATTTCTTCAGAACCGTGGGTGCTTCCACAAAGGCAGCTCTGAACTTTCTGCCCGTGTTACGTTATTTATGTGCGTGACTGATGGAAACCGCAACGCAGCTCGCTGGGGTCTGCTTCGTCCAACATAGATTGTATCTGCTACCAAGGAGCTGTCCTCGGAGAGGAAACAGTGGCTGTTGGACAAATGGAACTGGAAATGGAGCGGAAACTGAGCGTCCCAAAACTCATCGGGGTAATTTGCTTTTTTCCCCAGTCGTGCTCTGCCTGTTCTGAGCTGCTTCTTCCAGTCTTGCAAGAAAACCCAGAAGGCTCTCACGAGAGACCTTCGGTGAAGGCTGACCGTTTTGGAAGATGCTGTGATCAAGTGACAGAAGGAGGAGTTGGGGCACTGGTTTCTGTTTGTCTTCCACAAGCTGAGCAGGAAACTCTCAAGTCCTGTGCGTGCTCTCACACCAGCTGGACATGGGCAAGCAGATCCTTGAGAAGGAGGCACCACGAGGCTGTTGTGTCCAGAGCAAGGATGAGACCTGTCAATGATACGAGGGTGCTAACACGCATGTTTGGAGCAGCCCTGGAAGCACGCATGACATGACCTTCAGTCCTTTGGTTATCTGTCCACCATGACTGGGGTTTTCCCTTGCTCCTTGGAAAAGCGGTGAGACCCTGCTCAGGACGTGGCGAGCAGAACAGGCAGCTGCCACACGTGTTGCAGATCCCATCAGCTTGCTCTCTGCACCTTACTAAATTTAATCCAGGCAGCTGTTGTGATTGCAGTCCTGTTTTTCTGTGCTTTTTTTACCCCGGCGACACGCACTCACTGCCCACACATCTGTGGAGATCCCTGTGCCGGTGACACTGAGCAGGTGCTTCAAGATGTTCAGAGTCTCAACTAGAAGACAGAACCACATCCCAGGATCCGAGAAGATACGTGAAGAAGGCAGGAACATGTACCTTTGGTAAAGACAAAAACTTGCTGCTCTGGAAAGTGATTTCCTACTGGGTCTCCCAAGCACCCTTCCCTGCAGCACGTTGTTCCCAAATCGATTTTTTTTTTATTTTATTTTAGAAAAACTCCACGTCTCCATACCCACCCACACGGTCGCTGCAATAACAAGCAGGAGCGCTTGCTAAACAACATCTGTGTGTTTGCACTATTCAAAAAAAGGGCACGTAATGCAAAATTGATGTCCCGTTTTCGTGTCCTGTGCGTAATGAATTTAATTAAATTGAGCTCAGTTCTATGGTAACGTCGCGTTATTTTTTCATTTGTACCGCGTTTCGGGAAAAACCTTTAAGTAAAGGCCTGTTACCAGTTAAGCAGCCGGAGATCTTTTTCTTTCTTTCAGCGCGGGGAGAGACCTCCCATCGCTCCCAGGGTCCGTCTGCCTTGAAAAAACCCACTCGCTGTGCTAGTTCCGTGGTCCCATTGCCACCAGCTCTGGTTGTCCCGGATTCCCGCATCATTTGCTCCTCGTGGTAGTGCCAGGAGGAAGCTCAGCACTTCTCCAACTGTTTTCAACACCGTTGGCGCATGGGATGGAATAAGCCCTGGTGAAGGTGGGGTGCACCCCTGCA